TCAGAATTTTAAAAAGTATATCATATAAGATTGGAGGCATATATATGGTATATTGTTATTTGCATGATTCCTCTAATTTTGGCAAATCGACAAATTAAATTATCCATAATCTTAGAGATACATAGCAAGGAATATACTATTAGGTTTTATGAAGATAAGTTTTTAGGATTGGTAATGGTTTCGCAATTGTACGACCACCGGGTCATCATTCGTATGGAGAATTTCCGCAAGGATTTTGCATTTTTAATAATGTCGCAATTTGTGCTAAATATGCTGTTAAAAAGTGCAACATCAATAAGATAAGATTTTTGCGAAATTTTATTAATCAAAATAATTGAACCATTTGAAACAATTATTTCAAAATAAAAAAAATTTAAACATAAACTTAAATTTAAAAAAAAAATGATTTGAAAAATTTGAAAATATTCATTGAAAATAATATTTGAAGAAGTTAAATTTATTGACGAAATGTCAGTCTATATAATTTATTTGTTTTTAAAAAAGAAAAAAGAAAAAATCAGAGCGAATTAATTAGAGGTAATTTCAGGTACTTGTTGTTGATTCCGATTATCACTGTGGCAACGGATTATATCATTCATTTAAAGGGGATAATCGATTTTTGTACATTAATTTTCATGCTTATCATTATGGAGCTTTCTGGCCATATGAGGAAGAATATGATTATGATAACAAATATGGTAATGATATAAGTAGTGTGGTAGTTTTGAAATGAAGGAATTTTGCTGGTAACATGAAATATATTATAAACTAATGATGAATATAGTACTGTATTGATATGAACTAATATATTTAAATGAAAGAATAATTAACAAATGAAAATTTAATATCAAAGATAGATAAGCATATAGTAATAAATATAAATTTTTATTAATGAACGTATAACAACAATGTGTAAGGTTAATTACGATATGCTGTAAAAAATTTGTTTGATCATACCTATCGCATTCTAATTTTTGACAAATGAATTCCTACATTTTGCAACAATTGAATGAATCAGTTTAATTAAAAAAGAAGAAAAGAATGCAATAATCATTGATTTTTAACTATATATATATATATATATATATAATTTACTTAACTATATCTGTTTCTAGAAATTTTATCAGATAGCATTGTAAATATTTTATCAGATAATATCATATCCATTCCGTTGAATTGTGCAATGAATACGGAAGGTGATTACATTGGTGCATTACGACATCTTGTAATACCTATTGCTCAAGAATATCAACCAGAATTAGTACTTGTTGCCCTTGGATTTGATAGCGCTTATTATGATGATTTATTAGAACATGGACAAGGTATCAAAGCACATGGGTTCGTTTCATGCTTTTTCGTAAATTTTCATGATTTTTGGAAATTAAAATTTGAACAATGTTGCATGGAATTATGATATTATTTATATAATTTATTTTAAATTTCACC